AGTCACTCTTAGAGATCAAAGGTTTAAAAGAGGAAAAAGTTTAATTGCCATGGAATTAAGTATCTATAGGGTTTAAAAATGTGGTTTTTTTTTGCTGTCGAAAAGCAATTAAACTCAGCATGATTTATCAAAATAATAAGCAGATATTTTTTTTAGGGAAGTTATAAGCTGCAAAATGGAAAGAAGGAAGTTGCAGAATAAAGTCAAATGAGAAGCCAGCTTTTATCAATGATGCCACCACCATCAGACGCTCATGTCATTAGTCAATGACTGATACTAAAGGATTTAGTACCAAAATAAAAAGAGAACATATACATCATATTTATTTCAATTTTTATGAACCTTTAGGTACTTTAACCACAGTTTGGTTAAACCTTCAAACAAAACATTCTTCTCAGAAAATTTCGAGCATAATTAAATCCAATCAATAGAACATGTTGCACAGACAAAGATATAAGATTATTTGACAAAAACTACAATTCCAGCTTAACTTCACAGAGAATCCAAGTACTTCCGTGCAGTACAACAATAGCTTACAGATAATGGTTAGAAACGAGTTTGTTTTCCTTTATTCTGTGAAGAGTACGTTATTAAAAATCTCATTTTTTTAAAATCATGGCGAATAAAAAAATTCATTTTAAACGAAAAATAAAATGAAACATTTTGTTCTTCCTTTGTTTTGAGTACTTATATGAACAAATTCGTAATGCAATTGGCTTATTCAAAAAAATTAAAAAGGAAAAAAAAAAGCTCAGGGGAATCCTGTAGTAGCCCTAAAAAAATTTGGTGAGGTAATCACAATATTAGCTCCTGCTGAAACACTAAAAACGATTGAAAAAAATGGGAATGTATTACGTAACAGAATTTTCGGTTCTAAACCTTTTTTGCGACATAAGATGTAATTATTGCTTAGCAGAGTAGTTGAACATCAACACCTTTATTGGTTTTCTAAAAAGTTTGATTAAATTTTTAAACCATTCTCTCCTGAATCGCAAGACATTCAAATTTCAAACCTATCTTCAGAAAAACCGGATAGCTGTAGGTTAAAAAAAAGCAAAAAAAACTATTCCATGTCTCCGAATTTTGTTTCGCTCTCTGCAACCGCATTTCCTCGTTATAGGCTTTTTTCTCGATATGCCATTAAAAATTTAAGCGAAAAATTCTTCCAAAACCACAAACAATTTTAAGATCACTTTACAATGGACAAGACGTTGTGTTTTGTTTTATGCCGCGGTGAGACCTACATTCAGGTGATAAAGAGCTACGCAACCAACATTGTCCCAAAATTGTTACGTTCGATCCCTTCAATTTTTCAGAGTGCTTTCGCTCTGACCAGACTAGCCAGCGATAAGAGACAGTCTTTTTAATTGTAAAAGCGATAATGGCGGACTATTCCCATATTGGGAATGGTTCCTATGCGGATAAATCACTGGTAAAAGCTGCGGAAATCTCGAGGGTTGTAATGACGGCCCAAGGTCCACGAGAAATGTTACCAAACAGCGTGAATGGTCTTCCAGCTCTGCCCAACGGCTCTACATTTAAGAAAGGACAGCTTAGACAAGCGCCTTCTTATCTCTTAGGAAAACCATTACACGATTTCGACGCGACGGGTAATGGGGTAAGTGCGGATTGTCTGTGAAGCTCAACCGAAGATCATCCACTTTTTGTTTTTATAACTAATCGGTGTGATTAAGCTCACTGGTAAGTAGGTTACTGTTTTAAATTTTTGCACTACAGTTGTGCCCCTAAAACCTGGACTTACGCGATCAAATTACGTTAAAGCCCGTGCAAACATAAAAAGGATTCAAATTTGCCCCATATTTCAAACCCATTTGATTGCATCTTGGTTTTAATTACCATTGTGGTAAAAATGGAATTCGTTGATTTGTTGCGTAAGACGTGATCAGGTCTTAATTGATCCAAAAAGAAAACTTCTCAGCAAAGTTGTTTAATTTTCAGTATTTGAAAAGCGTTTTTCGATACTGCAAATATAAGCCTATTTTACTAAATTGTGGGACAATATTTTTACTTTGACTAGTTGCTTGTTTTTTAGAGGTTTTTTTCTTTGAGTATTCTAGAAAATTAAACATAAACATAGTCTATTGATCGTTGCCGGAAATGTTTGTTTTCAAACAGTAGAGGATCCACCGCGAAAACATTCGCGATTCTACACACCACAACACAATGGTTTCACATTTTTTTTCCTTATTTAACAGACGGAAGAATTTAGAAAATATTGTTAAAATTTTTGTTAAGAAAGTTTTTTTAAGTGAACGTTTGCGCAATCGTATGTTATAAACTGATAATCAAAAGAATGATACGGTTATTGAAAAGATAGGTTTTGAAAATGGACTTGAAAAAAAAAACGATTACTGATTCGATTCAGTGATATGACATAGAGCTTTTTTGCTCTTTCATAATCTATGAAGTAATAATCAAGAAAAACAAAACTAAAGTTATAAACTGTTGGCAATGATCCAGGTTAATTACTTGGTTATTAAAGAATACCTTTGGTTTTTAAATCATTCAAGAAACAATAAATGGTCTGATAGTTGTTATAATATTTCAAATTGTATATAAAATGCTCATGAACACTCGAGAAGAAGCAAACAGGAAGTCTAAAAACTCGAATTCTCTTGGTGTGAAATGACAAGAGCAATTCTTGATCAAAGTTTCATTTCAAGGATCGAACTTCAAGGCGGCATTTACCGGAAAATGATCCTCAAATTTGACTTGATTAACCAGTTTTTGGCTGTGAATCGTTTAAGCATTGACTGCTAAAGGATGTGGTCTGTTAAAGGATGTGATCTGTAGACTGAAGGAACATTCCTAATTTGTAGATGTAATTGTTGTGTTCCACATATTTGTTTACCACGCGGTCTTATCTCTGATGTTTCCACTTTTATCGACGCCCGCCTAACACATAAACTTATTAAACGCCCACGGCTCGTTTAAACTGGCTTTGACGATTAATTCCGAAGGGGGATGGGGGAGGGGAAGGCGGGAGAGGGCAAAAGCCGAAAATTTCGGTGGGATTATGCGGCCCATTTATTGGAAAAAAATCCCTGTAAGGCTTCGAAAACCACGAAGACCGGATTCGAAACAGCATAACAATCGAACACACTCCCTCATTAATAGCTTGGCCAGAGGTGCGATAACTTTTCCGAGACCTCTGCGGTTACTCTATTAGTGCTATTTCAGGCAACTATAGCTATAAGCACCTTTGTTGAGTGGAAATTTCAGAAGAGCTGAACATTTTAAATTGAATTAAACAGCTGTAAATAAAAAAATATATCCCACTTCCGGGCCGACTTGTCAAATGATTTATGGCCCATTTTCTCTATAACAGCTCTTAAACCATTGCCTTGAGGGCATGATACATTTATATCACGGTATCATAATCAAGAAACCTGGATTTGGACATATCATTCCCTTTGCTTTAACGTTATCTTTTCGGTTTAACACGCAAACGCCAAAAATTGAACGAGGTCAATTTTTGGCCATCTCGACTTGACAGGTTTTTGTCAATTTAAGTGATTACACTAATGAATTTTGAAATCCATTTTCGACCGTTGTAGTGGTTTCCTCTGTTTCGACTATTTAACGATGTATTCATGCTGCGTTTCATTCACTGTTTTAAAGTTACAGGAAAATTAACTCAGTTTCTTGCCAAACTTAAAAACAAAGTCGCCGATAAATTACGAAGTATGTTTACCAGTTTGCAAAAAACATTCGCATACTTATTGGACTCACTTCATCATGCCCACGAATATTATTTTTGTTGTTTTACTGAGCCTAAGCTTTGCACGCATTATCACCAGGACCAGAAGCACGTACATTAACTGTAAATCATTTTCAAGAGGAAATCTAGAAAATGCGAAGGCCTTCTAATTCCGATCCAATTAAACTTATAATGAATGGACTTAAAACCGCACTGACCATGATGACGTACACATCCTTGACTGCCAACTGTGACGTCTAGCTAAAATATAATATTCGGCAGAATTGTTCCAAACAATAGCAAAACAAACCATAACAATCTGAAAGGAAGGTGTTAAATGATTTTTTTTTATGAGCAGGAAGAAAATAAAAACTAAGACCATTAACAAATCAAGTTTTAGTTTTTGAAATCGAATTGGAGAGTTAAAGATTTTATCTGCTATAAATGTCTCTTCTAAATGATTCTGTTTTAAAATGTCGAGGGGGTTGGGTGGGGGGGGTGAAAGTGTGAAGGGGAGAGGGGATGGGAATAGGTGTGATGATAGGAAATAAATGTCTATTTGAACTCCTTAACTTTCGAATTCCCGAAGAAGCTGAATTTGAAGACTGTAAATCTTTCCACGAGTAAGTTATGAAAAATTAAAATTTGCTTTTCTACATCGTTGAGGGCAGATAGCTTTCATCTTGAATAGTGGTAGCTGTTTTCGAGGTTTTATCAAACAGTTAAAACCATATTATTGAAAACCTCTGATTGCATTCCCCGTGACTGATGAATCATAGTTTTTTTTCAATCTCACCTACAGTCGCCGGCCAAACCATCCAAGGAAACGTTCCTGGTCCTTAGTCGCCGGTCGAAGATGTCGAACGACCAAGCTTACAGATTCAATATGTCTAAATCGCTCTTCCTCTTTGAACCACTTCATCCACTCAGACTGTTGGCCATCAAGATCATCACTCATCAGTATCCTGTCATTAATTCTAACTTATCAAAAACGTTTTCTCAGATTTATTTCAGTTTAGTGCCTTAAAATCAAAGCCGATGCTGTTAAAATGCCCGGTCAAGATCTGAAAACACAACCGAACACGACATTCGCCGTGTTTTTTCCTAAACCATACCTTACAGATATTTTGAATTTTTTGTCATATTCATTATTCTGATAAATTGCATCTGCCTGGCTTTAAACAACCCCCCAGAGGAAGCAGAGTAAGTACTTGTCTCATTTCAGTTGTAAATTAAACGAATCATGAATTAGCTTGTAGTCTCCCTCTCAGTCGTTTCCGGCATGTCATGTAACAATGTTACCTCAAAAAAGCACCGTTGTGTGATTGTTGTTTGGAAAAAGCCCGGTAACTTTTGTGTCACGACTTTAGACATAAATATTTCTAGTCTATTTCGCAAGAATAAGAAAAAAAAACAGGAACAAAGGTCATTTTTAATAAATAATACGACTAGTAATGTCTGTAAGATTTCTAGAACAGCTATATTCTGGCCATCTTTGATAAAGCGATTCAGAGGAGACATAGAGGTATATATATATATATATATATATAGGAAGTCTGCAGGTCGATTTTCGCGTGGAACAGTGCTCAATACGTTGAAGCAGAGCAGAATAAATATTATGAGAGGAAAAAAGGACGTAACTACATTTCCCGACAAGCCTGTTTCGTGAATCGCTTCACTCTTCAGGGGTTTAATGGGGGCAGAGTCTACCTTGGCATAAAGTGCTCAATGCTGTGGTAGCAGAGCTGAGTATATATAAGTGAAAGAATCAAAGAGGACGCATCGATTCTCTGTTACTCTGAGTTTCGCGCCTAAGCGCTCGTCAGACAGAACTTTCTCTTGAGAAAGAAGAGAACTTGAGAACTTTCTGTTGAATGAATCAATGGAATGCTATAAAAGCTAATCATGTGATTTCTTTTATTCCAGATACATATTTACCTTCATCTACACATCGGAGATGTTTCTTAAGATCATTTCTCGTGGGTTTGTTCTCCATTCTTACGCGTATCTGAGAAACCCTTGGAACTGTTTGGATTTTACAGTGGTTATACTGGGGTAAACTGTTATCAAAATTTGCTACTGCAGAATGCTTACACTCTAGGAGAGCTGTTTGAATTTTGAGTTTTTCTGAAATAGCAGAAAAGTGTCTGCTCGTCCGTTTGACAATTTTAATTTTTTTTTCTAGATATGTAACGTTTTCACCGAATGTCGCAAACTTTTCTGGAATAAGAACTGTGCGTGTTTTAAGAGCGTTACGTACGATATCTGTTCTGAAAGGTGAGTCAACATATTTTAAAATATCCACGTGTAAGTTTACACGTAAAATAAAAGTATTTACCATGGAACTCTCGCGATGTGGTGCATAAAGAGGATTTTGTTCTACCTCTTCTTTTCGTCCGTCTATCCGTGTGTCTGTCCGTTTATCCGTGTGTCTGTCCGTTTATCCGTGTGTCTGTCTGTCTGTCTGTTTGTCTGTCCATCTGCCTGTTTGCCTATCTGTCTAACTGTCCATCCATCAGTTTGCCTGCGTGTCTGTCTGTCTGGTTTTCCGCGTGTCTGTCCTGGGTGTCTGTGCATGTGTGTCTCCGTCTGCTTACGTACTTTGTGTGCGTTTTTGTGTCTGTCTGCCCTTTTGTCTACACGTTTGCTTCCGTCTGATCAGCCGAATGCGTTCACCACCTGTTTTATCGTTTTTTCGGAAGCTCACTATCCTATTTTTTCTAGGTTTGAAGGCGATGGTTAACACGTTACTTCGGTCAATGAAAATGCTGAAGGATGTCCTTATTCTATTCGTCTTCTTTCTCGCTGTTATGGCGCTTATCGGCCTCCAGCTGTTTGTGGGTCACCTCAGATACAAATGCGTGCTCGACGACGATTCACTCAGCACCGCATACAGAGCAAATAACGAAAGTATGTTCTTAGTGTAAAATTTATCGCCAGACATTTTTTTTGTTGATGATGAAACTTCCTTACTCTTCACTTTCTGAATTTCATTAGTAAAAAGGCGAAAGTTGGGGGAGTAAGACTCTCTCAGAACCAAAGACTCTCTAAGAACCAACCACATTCAAATGATAAACAGCCACTGTGGCACAACACCTCTTCCGTCTCGACTGGACTTTCATTCACAGCTATCACAGCTGACTCACTTGAAGCAGAATATTTCTAATGCCCTTTGATGCAGAAAATACGAAGAATTCGGAGAATTTTAAATCTTCTACTTTAATTTTTGTTCGGCTGTTCTTTTCCTTTACCATTTCTTTTCTTCATCTTTTATCTCCTCCTTGCTCATCTTACTTCATCTTCTGCGATCTCTATTTTTGCTCAGATACTCCGGATATCAAAACCAAAAGTGTCCTGGCTGAGATCTTACATAGCTTTGTTTTTTTTTCGCAGGTTTTTGGATTTACGAAGAGGGTAGACCAGTCATCTGTGGAAATGGGACAGCCGCGAGGTATGGTATTTATTGAATAATGAATCCAAAGGGTACGCCATGGTGCATGGTATATAATGTACCGAGTGAATTTTGATACTTGCTCAGCCCGGGCATGGTTGGGAAAGGTGACTAGTGCCGCTGACCAATATTCTAACTCGAGCTATGGAGCTCTCGATGGTGTATTATAAAAGCCATATGGAAGGTTTTCATTATGCTATGTTTACTCGGTGACCAAAACCCCGTAGAAGAGTTGTCGGTATGTTAAATCGGTGTGAACCACATGCGTTCACGAAGTTGTAAAGGTTGGTAAACACAGCTGTCAATTGCAGGACATGCACAAGGGGTCAATTTTGATCAGGCGTGCAACAATTTTTCCGTGCAAAATTTCAAAGGAACTCATAAGAAACAGCCACCGTTCCCCAAAATATGCCTATTCGCCAAAAATATAATTGTTAAAAAAAATACGTTCAAGGTAAATAAAAGTCAGGGAAAGGAAAATTCGAGACTTGAAGTAAACAAAACTCATTTGACTATGAGTATTCCGCTGATTTACCACTGATTTTGTTTTGATCTTCACCAAAAACGTCACACAGTTTTCAATCATCGCAACTTACTTGCTCGTGTGGTTGCTCTAAAGATAATTTGGTCTTGACACCTTGAGAATACGTTACCTAGTAACCTTAACTTCGATTGCACATGCGCTGATGTTTTTGACCTCTTTGTTAGGTTAGTGTGGTTGTTGAGTCTTTGCGAGTCTTCGTTCATTAACTCTCCTTAGGACATGCCCCACAAACTATACGTGCTTGCCTGATGCCGGGCCGAATCCTGATTTTGGTTACACGAACTTTGATCACATGGGATGGTCTTTGGTAATGTCATTTCAGCTTCTGACGATGGACTTCTGGGAAAATATCTACAACAAGGTTTGTTCAGCCTTCAGAAAAATTTTGATCGACTTTGCTTTAGTATTTTATGAAAATGTTCATAATCAGTGCTAATTTCCTTGCTTTTGGTGCGAAGGATCTCGTAGGAAATTGAGTATGAGGCGCTGGTGCATCAATTTCTTGAGATAGTAGTTATAGCTGATCAAACACCAAACTAACATCACAAGAATTTTATGGCATACAGTAAGGCGAATTACTGATGATTTCTTGGGAGTAAAAGGCCTAATCGATTCCTTTCAGATTCTGGCATCCAGTGGAATCTGGTGCGTGTTCTACTTCCTTGGGGGCATATTTTTCTGCTCTTTTTACCTTTTAAATCTCGTGCTAGCCGTGGTTGCTTTATCTTACGAACTGGAGATCAAATCTATCCACAAAGAGGTGAGTTCAATTTCCCTTTCTAAACTGCATGAAATTCTCTTCATCATAACCATCCGTCATTTTCTAAATATAAAAAGAATAAATTACGGTAATTAATAGGCATTATTTGCAAACTGTAATTTCTTCATTTCACCATGCCGATTTTTCTTTAAATTCACGGTAAGACCGCGAGACAGAAACATGAAAACAAAACTGCCATGTCGTACCCAGCAGACTCCGACACACTGGAACACCTTCATCCGCTGACCACTAAAGTTCAGGTTCTTATCAAGACAATTCACTCCATCAGAACTCAAAAGAAGGTTGAAGAGATTACCTTTAGAGTCCCGAAAGAGCCGCCTCCCCCGTCACTGCTTCGCCTTATCGGAAGTAAAAACTCTTTCAAAGAAATTCTTGACGAAAAAATGAAGAACGAGGCATTTCGTACAAATATGACGTGGAAAAGGCGCCTTCAGAGAATGATGTGTGACGTTATGGGTCACTCTATTGTGGAAGTGACTATTATGGGGTTCATTCTCGCCAATACAGTGGTCCTTGCCGTGGATCATCATCAGATTGACTCGCAGTTCAAAAAGGTCCTTGACGTGCTGAATTTGGTAAGGTACCATTATCTGATTAATCAAATCATAGCTACAGTAAATAATGATAGTTATTCAAATTTTGCGAGCTTTTTTTGTTGAAAGGTGTAATTAAAAAATGATAATGATAAGAGACCGGATTTTAAAGAGAGGTATAGTCTCTTATACTCAGCATCAAGGAATCACGTTTCGTGGTAATTTATGTCGAGTGTCACATGGCCGTAACATGTCGACGCAAGCGACATAGCTTATAGGAGAAGAAAATGCGTTTGCCTGATCCTTTCTTTTTCTGATAATGAAATTTGTGCTTTGAGAGAGGAATCATATATTTAAATATAGAACGCTTTTCGATTGAGTGTCGTAAAGCCAAGACTGATTAGAGCGGGAAATTAGAGCAAAATGAAAAGTATTGGAGATAGTCAATTAGAGCTCAAAGTGAAACAAGCAAACTGCTTAAGGCAAAAAAAAAAATGTTTTTGACTAAGTCACGATATATTGGTTTTAGTTTTGCACCTGATGCGTTGAGAGGGAGGTGTCAGTTAATTTTAGACCAATTACACATAGATCAAACCAAGGAAAAACCATTGCAGTCCCGAATATGGTTCTACAATCAGACGTTTTTTACTCAGACCAAATTAGAAGAAGCTTGCTCCCGATGATGAAGTAACCACTTCGTCTCATCGCACAGGTTTTTCGATTTTGGTCGAGCAGAACTGCATTGCGGTAATAAAAAGTTCGTCTTGCGTCCTCAGGGTATGATCATGGATTCAATTTTTTTCTCTGCAGATGTTTACCACCATCTTTACTGTGGAAATGATTCTGAAACTTGTTGCGCTGGGTCCATTGTACTACATTCAAGGCAAATGGAACATATTTGATGGTATCATCGTCATCATCAGCTTAGTGGACACAGGACTTGAGCTAGCGGACTTCAAAGAATCCTCTGGAACCAGTGTCTTCCGAACATTTCGCTTGGTAAGACCTCATTCTTTTAAAATATGTCTATGGATGTTTCGCCTCATTGAAAGTTCGCCCCTGCCCGGTTCGCTACCATTTCGACTTGTTTTTCCTATTAGATATGACAAGTTCGCCTCTGTCTGCCAGTCTTCTCCAAGTTTCCAAGTCGAATCTCTTTTCTAACTAAATTATAGTAAATTCAAGCGAATTTCTTGCTCTAACCATAAAACTTGACTGTGAAAACATGCGGAGTCGCTTCGCTGTAGTATTGAATCAACTAATTATCCCCAAATTGATATTTTTCTTTATTCTCAACACATACCTGGTTGATATTGTATTGACATGGTAAGGAGAACTTCTGTTTTGGTCACTCATTGGAGTAGGTTAAAGGGTTAAATTATTTTCCCAGAAAAGGTGGTTCAACATTTTCCCTTCTCGCTTTTTCCTCCTCAAATACATACAGTTTAGAATCTTAAAACTGGCGCAGTCCTGGGAGACGATGCGAAGACTATTGTCTACAATATCCAACAGCGTTGGACCAATCGGCAACATCACCCTCATCCTGGGTCTTGTGATTTACATCTTTGCCTTGATGGGAATGAAGATGTTTGGTAAATCATACACACCAGACAAGTTTGGAGAGGACGGTGTGCCACGATGGAACTTCAACGACTTCTGGCACGCTTTCATGATGGTTTTCAGAGTCCTGTGTGGGGAATGGATCGAGCCCTTATGGGATTGCATGAGAGCAACCAGCCCTGCTGCTGCCATTCCCTTCTTCATTCCAGCTTTTGTCATCGGCAATTTTATTGTGAGTTGAATCACTCCATAGAACTGCACGTTGTACCTAATGCTTTAAACTGTGTTGCGATAAATCATCATAGACCTTCAACTTTTAAGCAAATAGGAATAAATGTAAGTCTGAACTGGAATTGTATCCCATCCTGGGGGAAAGCCGCACTTCAAGTAACTTCATGGTACGGAAACATGGATAAGCTTTAGTTGGATGAGCCACAAGTCGAATGCTGACCTGATCTTTAATTAGAGCAAACCAGCCGAGCTTTTAATGCTTTTTAGAACCACTCATAATTAATTCTCTTTTGACCAAAGGGCTCAAAGTCAGTCTTAATTTCTAGATATTAAAGTTTATAAGAGGAATCCTAATCACTAATTTTGCTTCCATGTAGGTTCTCAATCTATTTCTAGCCCTGCTCCTTAACGCTTTTGACAGCGGTGATGAAGAAGAGGAAGAAGGTGCGAACGATGATGATGACGAAGAGGACGTATTCAAAAAACTCCTAAGGAAGCTAACGAAAACCAGGAAGATTCCGGTGTTCCCCGTCTCTGATCATCGCTCGGGTGATGGAAGCTGCAATTCCTCTCAAGAAATACAAGCCTTTGGCAGGGAGAAAGATAATAGAAATGTAAGGAAGTTTAGCCAGGGAAGGGAATACTCGACCGTAGGTAAGTCAATGAAGTGCTTCTCAGAATGACTTTTATCAAAATTGGACTTACGGAAGAAAAATTATCCATTTATGAAAGATCTAAATGAAGTCAGTTTCTGCCTGTTGGGATAATTCATCCTGTAAGGATTCTCAGGATTCTCTGTTAGGGAGAAGAAAAAGCACTAGACTTTGGCTCTTTACTCGCTTCTGGAGTTGTAGCTCAGTTATTAACAGCGCGTAACTAGTATCAGGGAGGTATAGGTTCGAATTGTGTCGTTGCCAACATCTTTTCAGGGCTTCTTTTCCTTCCCTTTTTTTTAAATTCAGGTCAACTGTGAGAATCATTTCGCTTCTTGTCTCTTAGAAAAATCATTGCTTTTGTCGTTACAAATGGTCCCTAAAATGACTTGTTTTAAAAATCAAAATGAAATTACTTTACCTCAACACCTCTTTCAGCTAATATCATTCCTGGTGTAACTTCAAGCCCAAACCGCCAAGGAAAGTCACCAGTACAACCAGCCGAAGTTGACGACTGTTTCCCAGAGTTCTGTATGTCACCTTTGACTAGTTGCGCCTGCTGCAAGAATATTACGTGCAACAACTGGCTGTTGTTTCGCTGGCGCACACGGACACTTGTGGAACACAGATACTTTGAATGGTTTATTCTATTCACAGTGCTTATAAGCAGTTTAGTTCTGGTGAGGGTTTATCTCCGCTTCTTTTATTATTAACCCTTTTATAAACTCCCTAGATATGATTTTTAATTCTCTCCCTTAGCAGCTACACACTTCTCTATAAATTAATTACGAGAATTTGATGCAGGATCAAGATAACAAATACCTGGCACGTTTGACTACTCTCGTCCAAGGAGAGTAGCAATTTACCGGTCACTTTATACAACGGAAACTAGCCACTGGCCTTGACAGCTCAGCTTGACTTTGGCTTTTTTTTACTTATGTGTTACATGGAAATTGTTTCCTCAAGGTGTTTGAGGATGTGTACCTTCCAAGCAAGCCTACGCTACAAAAAGCTCTGGAAAACCTGAATTACTTCTTTGCGTTCATCTTCGCCTTAGAGTTTGTCCTAAAACTTATAGGATTGGGCTTGGTTGGATATTTCTCCTCGTTTTGGAATTGCCTTGATTCGTTAATAGTCGCGGTAAGTCTTTTAGAGGAAGTAAGTCTTCATATTCTCCCTCCTCTCTCTATTTCAAACATGGCGTTTCGGTGAAGGATCACAAGCCTGTTAAGCTCTTCCTAATAATACCCTTGTACTTCAAACTTATATGTGCAAGACTCTTCGCACAAAGGCATTCACTTGTCATGACCCGTAAATTTGTAAGGCCACCACGCCAACGTTGACTATTAAACCAGCTTTAAGATAATACTCAAGTTGCTATTTAGACCCCTAAAATTCCTCTAATAGGAATCAAATTAAGATCTGGGTGCGAGATATGGTGAAGCTTTCAATTCTTTCATGTTAGTCTTACTTTGAATCAAATTCCACTCTCTTCGTGCTTTTCGCTGTCACGTTTTGTTTTTTATTGCTATTTTTTTGTCTTCGTCAAGATTTCACTGGTGTGTGTGTTTGAAGATCAAACTTTGGCATCTTTGCGCTCTCTGAGGACAGTGAGAGCTTTGAGGCCATTGAGAGCAGTTTCACGTCTGGAAGGGATGAAGGTAAAGAAAACCCAAACTAAAATCTTACAAATTTTCCATCACAACGAGAAGGATCAAAATCAAATTGAGGAATAGTTTGATTAAAAGTAATGGACGAATGACACATGGGTTGACAAGATGCTATTTTTTTTCGCGTTTTCCAGACGTGCACGAGGGGTACCCGATCTCCTCTCTTTGCGCATGTCTCGGCACTCCCTGTCGCCTCGCGTTTGCTTCTGTTTGCCTAAAGAAAATATCCGAGCAAACCCAGGACAGCAAAAGAAGTAGTTCAGTTTACATTTTTCACCCATAAAAAATGTATAGATGTCCCTGACTCCTTTTCCAATATTTTTTCTGACCAGGTCGTCGTAAATGCTCTCTTTTCTGCCATACCTGGAATAGCCAATGTGCTGTTGGTTTCCTTGTTATTCTGGCTGATCTTCAGTATCTTAGGAGTCCAGCTTTTCGCCGGGAAGTTCTATAAATGCATAGATATGGATGGCGAGCGCGTATCAGCAGAATTAGTGCCTAACAAATTCACGTGCCTGAAGTATCCTGAGAAATATCGATGGATGAACTCAAATGTGAACTTCGATAATGTCATCAACGGCTTTCTCGCCTTGTTCCAAGTTGTGAGTATTTCGCTCGTAGGCTATTCGACGCTTTAATGTCAATGACAATATCATAAGTCACACCATTGCAGTGCCTTCAAGAACATTTCACTGAAGGTTTCGTTAAACCAAAATCTCAGTAATCAAAACTTTCTAATCAGAACAATGTCGATATCACACAGGGCTAATGGGATCTAAAGAAGTTGTGAGTATTTCGCTTGAAGGCTATTCTACGCTTTATTATCAATGAAAATATCGTAAGTCACGCCATTCCATACCAATCAGTACCTTCAACAACATTTCGCTGAAAGTTTCGTTACACCAAAACCTCAGCAGTCAAAACTTTTAAACAGAACAAGGTCGATATCACACAGGGCCAATAAGATCTAAAAAAGATGTGAGTATTCCGCTTGAAGGCTATTCCACGCTTTAATACCAATGACAATATCATAATATTTCTCTGCCTTCGAGAACATTTCGCTGAAGGTTTAGTAAAACCAAAACCTTCGTAACCAAGACTTATAATCAGAACAAAGGTCGATATCACACAGGACCAATGGGATCTCAAAATGAAAACAAGAGAGGTTTCTAAGACGTTCTAAAACGTAAATGCTAAAATAGTTTTTAATAAATGATTGTCAGCCCTCTGTTTTCAAATGAAAAGGCTTAGCGTGTATAAAATTTCAATAACTTAAGTCATGAGTATATTTGATGATGAATATATTCTACAGCATCCTTTTTCAATACAGGCAACATTTGAAGGGTGGATGGAACTTATGGATGATGCAGTGGATTCAAAAGAGGTTTTTTTTTCAAATTTACTCATTAATATACAAACTCTTAAATATCAGAATTTACAACAGGAAAAGACTAAATATGACAAAGAGAGTATGCACATAAATGTAAAAATTATGACGTCAGAAAAGTTGTACGTTTCTTCTGAGGAATTGAAATAATCTGCTCATCTTATTTTGTCTGTGAGCGAGATCTCCTTTAAAAGTTTTAAAGGAGAGACTTCAAGCCTAAAAGAGGAACTTAATGAAGTTCTTGTGCAGATACTCTTGCCCACGGAGTTTTCCCCAAGACCAGGAGACTATTTAAAAAAACTGTCATATTGTGGCCCTTTGAGAGGATAACTTTGTTCTCTTCCATGATTGTTCTGATCAGCTCTACTTAATTGGGAAAGGGTTGTACCATTTCAATTCTGCTGGACCTTACACATGCTGGAGGTGAACTCGGTTATAGAAAATATGGGCGAGTTGAGCATCTTTCTCCCACGTCGAATTTTTAGGAAGTCGACTCTGTAAGGTTAGGTTTTCAAAGTGGAATTTATTTGTTTTGAGTTTTCGGGGACAGTTTGCGCAAAATGTTTGCAAGACAATTCAACTGCTCTCCCTGTTTTTTGTGTTCCTTTCAGGTAGATGAACAACCTGCAGACGAGAGTTACCTCGGTGCTTACATTTACTTCGTTATTTTCATCGTTATGGGTGCTTTCTTTGTGCTCAACTTGTTTGTTGGAGTCATAATTGACAACTTTAACAGTTTGAAGAGAAGAGTAAGTACTTCTTGGTGAATAAAGCAGCTTCAGAATCATAAAACACTCCTGTTGTCTCTCTATTGTCCACCAGTTTACCACTTCAGTTGTAACACATTTGAAAAATCCTGTAAACTGCTTTTATCGAAAATCAGAGCGGGATTCTGTTTGCATCATATTCAGAAATGATTTACCGTACATTTTCTCCTCGAATGTGCGCCGCCGGCCTCGAATAAACGCCGTATCGGTAGCCTTGATAGTTAAATATTCGCCGGCCTCTTGATCAAATAAACATATTTGGTGACCGGCTCCCATTTCAATTCGCATCAATTTTACTAAATTTTGACTTTGGCGTCTTAGTACGATGAGCTGAGTTATATGGGGATGCTACTGACTGACGCCCAAAGGAAGTGGGTGGACATATTAAAGGAATCTGCAAAAAGTAAACCACCAGACAACTCAATCAAACCACAGGTTTGTACTCATTTCTGTATCATAATAACACCGCGCCAGAGTGATCCTTTTCCGAGACTTGGTTGACACACAGGTGTTAACCCTTTGCTCAGTGAAAGACTGAGTTACTTGTAATACCGTAGCAAGCAATATTAGATTCGTCATCAGGTTAATGGAGCTATAGGAGTGGAAAACCCGGATCTTCTTTTAAAAAAGGTTACAGCCAAGAGCTTTCAATACGTATAAAAACCATATCTTATTTCAGTGGTATAAAATTTTTTAGGTCATATTCCACATCTAGGAGAAGTTTGAAAAATTAGTTTTTCTTTTCTTTGTTTACAGTCATTAATTTAATGGGTACTTCAAGATTAACAATGTCCAAATCTAATTTTTTAGAACTTAAACTCATTATCAATTTTCCCTCGGCGTAAAGCATTTTCAACGAACGTAATCAGCTAACTTCTAAAGTGCGATGTGATAACACATCACTGTGCTTTTTATTACAGAACAAGGTTCTACAACTTCTGTATGACCTGGTTACCAGTAAAGTCTTTGAGATGGGAATACTGGGGATGATTATGTTGAACATGTCCGTTATGATGTGGCAACACTATGGCCAATCGGAAGCGATGACAAGTGCACTTCATATCCTTTTTGAATGAGAAAATAAAGTGTTTTACTGCCCCTGAAAATTGGTAAAATACCACAATCAAGGCTGAACAATTGCATTTAGATTTTAATTTTTTTTCTTTATCTCATTTTAATGACAACCGAATATCAAGACTATAATATCCCAGCAAAATTAATAAACATCAATAGAAATGGGTGGAAGGGTAATCTTCATCAAACATCACAAAAACTGTTTGTCGACATTTAAAAATTAACAACGAGTTAAGATGATGATATTCCTTAATAAAGCCTGTGACATCGCGTCCGGGAAACACAAGTGTTCAATTGGATATTTACAGCGGTCTTCATCTTGGAAGCTGCGATGAAACTTGTTGCATTACGCCAGTATTATTTTACCAAGGCCTGGAACATCTTTGATTTCTTCATTGTAATTGCTTCAATTATTGGTAAGTAACAGAGTAAAAGGTTCTAAAGTGGTAAAGTACCTTCCATTAGGAATGCAGGAAATAGCATTGTATCTTTGCCAGTATAAAACAGTACTGAAACGAGGCGAGAAAACGAGAAGGATCTAACTACAATTCCGTACATATAGATATTAGTTTCTTCATTTGTAGTGGTTCCTTGGAAGTATATTTAGAATTTCGTGCTACTTCAGCGGTAGCTACTTGTACCCTTGGAAAAAAAAGTGAAATTCTGTTTTTTTTTTCGGATTTTCGTTCTGGAGTGAAGTAAAAAATTTAAAAGCTTTTTATTCTTCTCGCTTTGTTTTGTTTAGTTATCATTCACACATTTATTTTCTGAAATACAAAGTGCTTATGTAAATTGTTTTTTCACCTTATCACACGATTGGCGATGGAAGAACTAACCACAGGAAACATCAGATTTATGAATCCAGGTCTCCTCCGAGTCCTTCGCGTTGCAAGAGTAGCTAGATTACTAAGGATCCTGCAGTTCGCAAAAGGAATCCGTCAGCTTCTCGTAGCGTTGATAATTTCGTTACCAGCCCTCCTAAATGTCGGCACACTGCTCTTCTTGGTCATTTTTATATATGCCATCATTGGGATGTCAACGTTTGGCCACGTAAAGAAACAAAAGAACCTGGACGATACGGTAAACTTCGAGACTTTTGGCCGGTCTATGATGCTGCTATTTCGTTTGTCTACGGGAGCAGGCTGGAACGACATTCTGGAATCTCTAATGCTTCGTGAACCCGATTGCGATCCAGACTATGGGGGATTCCCGAATGGTAACTGTGGATATCCCGTGGGGGCAGTCATTTACCTTGTATCATACATTTTCATAGTTTTCCTCATCATTGTAAACATGTACATTGCTATAATCCTAGAGAATGTAAACAGAGCTCAAGAAGGAGGGCTTGTCATCAAAAAGGAAGATCTAGATAGCTATTATGAAAAGTGGGCATCGTTTGTGACCGATGGAAAACAGTATCTTCTCGTTGATCAAGTGTCGGACTTCGTAGCTCACCTTAACGAGCCTTTCAAAATTCCAAAGCCAAACGAACAAGAGCTTGTTAGAATGGGAATCAACGTTCGGATGGGATATCGGGTTCAGTGCTTCGATCTCCTTCGATGCTTAGTCAAGCGTCTTTTGGAGCAGAAAGGCGAATCACCACTTGCCTTTGAGCAAATAGCATCCAAGTTAGAAACACATTTTAGAAGGCGGGGAGTCAGAAAGAAATCACGCATCAGCAAATCTCGCTCTACTTCTAATGAAATATCTAGTGAAGAATTTGCTACTGTGTCCTTAACTGATGAAACTTTAAAGGAAGATGGTTCGATTCCTGCTATCACAGCAGCTGAGAACAGCAGCGTTTTGGAAAAAAGTGATTCTTCTCCTAAAAACACGACTCCTCCTCGTACAAAATACCGGGATCCAATTTCTACAGCTTTGATGTTTCAAAGCGCCATTAAGCGCTTCTTGGACAAGCGCCGTACACGTGGGACAGTAACGTTTCCGATGACAAATGGTTTCTCCAATGAGAGTGTACCGAGATGTTCTTGCAGTCCATTATCTTCGATTTCCAGCGATCAGGAAGTGGGCGATTTCATGTTCGGCCTTGAACTAACTCCCGGAAGTAGATCTCAAATTTCTTTTGACAGTGCACATGGCAGCAACTCGCCAGGATGCTTATCATACGACCCATTTGACTCAGATGGCGACAGCGTCTGATAATGACTTCATCAGGTTTTAACGAACTTAACAATTAAAAAATTGAGTAGAACGATCGATAAAGGGTAGTGTTTAAGTGTAAAACACAATACAAAGTGGCTCTCGTTCCAAATTACTTACCCGATGGAAAAGGAAAGTTAATTTTGTTTGTCCTAGTAAGCCACTCCAGGCCTCGGAGGACCAGGAAAATTGAATGAGTGAGCTAAACGAGGCAAATTAATAAAGGCATCAGCCCGAAGTCGCCATTAGCGATTGAACTACCACTTCCAATGAATGGAGCAACAAAACATGAAAATAGAATAGAAAACCCCTTTGTTTCGTAACTTCGAGAATATAAAAAAATATACACACTTAGGACTTGCTCGGTAATCAAATTCTCACTTTTTTCTAAGAAAAGAAAAGTCCACTGACCCGATTAGATGACTACATAAACGCAATGTTATAAGCAATATTAATAAACAAAGAAAGGATCATTGTATCTATTCGAAATTGAGCTCACGGCCTTCACAGGAACTAGATGTTCAGAGGTTTGCAAAACCCTTTTCCTAATGTGTTACTGTACAAAAATTTCCAGCGAGGAACAAAAATGCGTGGGGAGGGGCGGAGGAATTTAACATAAGTTATAATCAATCAAATCAAATGTTGCACCTTGCAGTGCTTATTAACGCGACACTTGGTTTTTCAAGATTGTGCGTACACGTATTTTGAATTTTTATGAAATACAAAACACTAATTTGTTCAGAATTTCTCTTTGAATATAAACCTACTTTAATGTACAAATAAAATTCTGTTTCAATTACTAGTTGCTTACTTGTCATTGTAATTTGCCTTCGTGAATTTCATTCCGAGTGAATGAAAACTGGTGTTAGTCTTCATCACTGTTAAATAGCCAATGAACGGAGTACGAGCTGCCAAAACTAAGATTGATGAAGCTCGTTCTGATACACTCCTTTAATATTTTAACTCGTAGAGTTCAGTTTTTCCCTACAACGAAAAAAAAAAAAGAAAAGAAAACCAAAACAACATGGATTATGTTTTCTTCCAAGGGATCAGGGAGCAAGTTAGTTTGGTACTTGAACGTTCAAACGTTCGTATTTTGTTCAGTCTGGCTTAGACCAGTTCAGGAAAAAATGATAACAAAAGAAAAGGAAAAAAGACCCAGCCGGAAAACCCGGTTCAACTAGGTAGAGTTCTTCAAAATACCTAACCCGAAGTCAGTGTAAATATTAAATCCAGTTTTAAAGCTATGCAAAAGGGATTTTTCCTGTTAGTTTAGTCCATACTGAGATAAAACCTTGGGTGTTATACACGCTCTTCCAAATGAGAAATTAAAGCTTAAATGAACTTTTAATCCCAGATTGACATTAACCACCTTTCTTGCAACCTGGCTAAACACAATTTTAGTGATGTTAAACTTGAGCGGTCACAGGAAGTAGAACTTTTGATCAGCATGTAGATGATCTCAATTAAATTTTGATCTTTTCATCTCTTTCGTCAGTTTCTGTCATTCTGTATTAAATGATGTAGAAAATAATACAGATGTACAAAAACAAAAATATTTTCCGCTTTTGGGTTCCGTCTTTCAGAGATAATAGAGGCCAAGATCTGCTATTTAATTACGTATGTTTGGAGGCAGAAGAGTCGTAAATTAATAAAATTATTATTTTTCTAAATTTGTGTTTCTTTCGTGACTTTTGCCATCGCAGCGAGCTTACTAACATCGATCATGATCGATTTTCAGACTGGGAAAAACTTCCGGGCGTAATGACGTCACGAATGGCGGGAAAAATCGAGGGGGTACTCGCGTTGCTTGTTAACGTCACTTCAAAGTGTTGAAAAGCGATGGGAAATATAAAATATATGAGTTAAAACACGTCCAAAGAGGAGTTTAGATTGTGGGTGAATCAATTCAAGCTGTGTTCATTCAACATAAAATTATCTGCGAAAGAAATAACAGTGACTCTGGTACGCTCATGTCTTTGCGTAAAGAAGGTTAGTTCGCAAAAGTGTATTCTTGCACCTTGTTTGTGTGAGACCGTAGTTTGTTTTATGATTTTAAATCTTTGCCAGGAAAAATTTATCATTCATTGGCTTGACGAGCCGAGCGAACTCTTATGTTTCGTTTTCCCATAGCGGACTCTCCATAACTCGATTTGGGTTGGAGCTCTTTACAATCATCTTCAAAACATTAAAACCTATACAGTAATTACAGCAACATCAACAATAATTCGCATCCCATATGGCGGAAAATTCTGTAGAGATACGAGTTTCATCTAAGAAATTTTATCTCTCCAAAGGCTTGTGCGTTTAAATTTTGTTAATTTGCCAAAAAGCTCAAATTCCGGTCGACGGTCGAGAGGAATGCACAGATAAAATGTCAAGTGCAGTCGATGCAAAACAGTTTGCTTTTGCTTTCCTTTCTCGAGTTTCAGACTTAACACGCTTTGGCTTAAGTCATCAATGATTTCCATCAGTTTCTATTTCCTCTTCATTACATTTTTTTGTTTTGAGGCATGAGCTACGGGACATTAAAACTATATCCAACATTTTAAGCGACTCAGGCGTGAAATTTACTTAAGTATAACTGAGTTCTAGTTGTAATATTTCTAAAGAGCCTAAGGATGTGTGAGCACTTTGAAAGATTAAAGAAGAACGATATAAAATCTATTTCTCTATACTTCTTCAGTTCTATTACCATAGCGATTTACTATAAGTGCATCGAACAAAAACAGTGTATCTCCCTCCTACTTTTAGACGGTTTGCAAACACAAATACACAGTTACGATACTCTTGGTGAAAACTTCGGTGAAAATGCGGTCATTCTTATTCATTGTTGTTTTGAATGACAACTAAAAGATAATCTTCATAAGGTGCTATTATTAGTTCATTTTTCCTGGATTGGACTCGCAAAATGACAAGCTCATTTTCTGGATCCATATCCCGTACCATACTACTGGCCATGGTGGAAAGCGTTCTGCACAAAGAGGCGTATTGAAGCGTGTTGGAGTTGTCCATGTCTGTCCTCAAGGGGATCCCCTCAGAGTTTACCACAATGGTTCCCGCCACACCCTTGTGGGTTTGTATACGCTTCAAGGAGGCTTCAGCTTGAGACGCCATGATTCTGTAAACTTTTATAAGCATAAACAACAGTTTGGTCTAATGTTCTAGTCAAGGAAGGAGACACAACGGGATACACCGATACTGTGATTACTTATCATGTCGTTGAGAAAGATATTCATGGCTTATTCGATAAGATGGGTTATGTTATACCACTTTGATCTATAAGGAAGTGAAGCTCCTTCCTAGATAGGATCACATAATGCCTTAGGGATGATCACAACCACAACTTTAACATCATGCATTAGTTAGCCAAGCAATGAAAGAAATTATCAATATTTTGATGATTGGAAACTTTACGATGAAGTCAGTAAGACAGAAAAAGCCGAGTAAGCAAAGATTTCTTTATCATCTCTCTTATTCTTTTACTCAAATGGCGCTTTTGACTTTTTCGATCTTAGCAATAAGCATAATGCTTGTCACAGGTAGACTTTAATAATTACCTAAATCGAAATCTGTTTGTTTGATGCTTAATCATAATATAATCAGAGCATCAGAGCGCAAAATGCGAAGGTCTGTAGTACTCGAATTTTGTCTTTGTCATACGCTCCTGACACAATGAATATAAAGAATCTGGTTGCAAATTTAGTTTTTTTTAAACTCGACGATATTGAGCAATTCTCACATGAAAGGCAAGTTAATCATGATTTGTCTTCCAAAAACACTTGAAGTATGCCTAATATATTTGATGGCTTGCATTAGTGATCTCTTGAACTAAAACATAAGCCATTTTAGTAAAGCTTGGTAAAAGCTGAAACTGAAACTGTCTAAGTTGTCGTTGGTTTATCCATGCCAAGGTTAAATTTTCTAACTTAGCGATATCACGCAAATTGTTATGCAATCATTGTTCCTCCTCCAGCCCTCGCCGTGATATATGTACAGATCATTTAAGTGTCTGCGGCAAAGTTTTCCTAACACTTAAGAAGACAGCTCTGCCTGCTAAAATTGGTCCCTTTCAAAGCTTTCTCAATATTTTAATAGCTTAAGTTGCAGGTGCGTGACACTCGGTTATGTGAGGGCCTCTTCATATGAGCCCGGTAACCGGGCTGGCCCGGTTACCGGGACGAATTTTGTCGTCTGTTCATATGGGAAATTTCAGCCCGGTTACCGGGATGAAAAAGAGTCGAAAAGGGCGCGAAACGTGGACTGAGGCCCTGGAAACGAGTTTGAGCATGCGTAGTTGAAAAATTTTCATCCCGGTAACCGGGCTGGAGTGTTCATATGGGAAAATATTTCATCCCGGTTACCGAGATCTCGGTTTCTACAACCGAGATCTCGGTAACCGGGCTGGCCCGCCTTCTCATATGAACACATCGAAATTTTTACAAAGGAAATAGGAGTGAGGCGAGATCTCGGTAACCGGGCTAGCCCGGTCAACCGGGCTCATATGAAGAGGCCCTGAATTAACTTTTCTTGCCGAAAGGCTGGCCTATGTACGCTAGGAGGTTAACTTAAAATTGGAAAAATCCCCACCTTATTGCATTGGTTTTAGATTACGAAAGAAAAACCACACAAAATACGAAAAAATAAAATTGACTTTTGCATCAAACAATCATTTTGAACTCAAAATGAGGTACCAGGGACACAGAGCCATGAACAATTTCAAAACAATCAAGTGAAGAACAATTATGCAAATAAAATGAGTTCTAATTCTGCTCAGCATGAAACAGAAAACGAAACCGTATCTCCTACATCCAACTCACATTGATCAACAATTCACACTTTCTTCATCTCTAGCCCTTGAGAAAGTGGTATTTCTTAGCGAACTTGACACATAATACATTAAAATGCCAGTTTGCCAGATTTAACCTATATCAACAACCACACAAAGCAGACCGGCGAATATCACTAGCGTTTGAATATAACTTTCGCCGGAACCAGAGATTTGTCCGATGAAGTCGTGTTCACAAATCTCAAAAAGCCGTGAAAGAAAATTCGAGGCCTATAGCATATTAAGTTTTAGAAGAAACTGTGAGCTCGCCTCGAGACATCTTTATCACTAAGCGTTATTTGTTAAACACACAATAGTACGTTCTTTAATGGATTATGCTCTGTCTCCCTGGCTATCGAAGTTTCTTACCTTAAATATTTATCATAGGGCCTTAAACAGGCGGAATCCAATTCACTTAAACCACTTTGCCCCAAGGTGATTCACTCTCTACCGAATGGAAGCCGTCAATAATTGATAGCTAGTGAAACATGTACGGCCGTTCTTTGTAAATATACCTTGATTTTGTGCTGTGATGCGGCAAAATGAAGACTTAAACAATGCCGGGACGGAAAATTAGCTGTGTCTTTGTTGAGTACAAAGGATGTTTTTCTTTGTTGTTAAGGCAACTGTGCGCACTGAACCATTCGGGCAGTCTGTTATGATTTAACCATTCACTTCAAAGTTCTTACGCATTAAGTTCAAGATTACTTTATTATGGTGCAACAGCGACTACAGCTGATGTATCACTGTAATTCGAAGAAATTCGTGATACCAATTAGTGGCCTTTAAAGTTGTGATCCTTTGAAACTGATCATATGATACAGAGAAAATGAGAAGAAAATGCAAAAGAGCGAAAAAGTATTAACTTTTGCCTTAGGATGACTGCAAAAAAATTTTTTTTATCGTAGGCTGAAGCGCATAATCAAAAACTTAGCTAAATAACAACTTGTCATTTCGTGCTTGTTTCGATCAAGCGCGAACGTTCGAGCACTTAATTGTGGAGATAACTCTTTCTTAGAGGATTATTTTTAACTCTAGAAAATTTGAGCTCGTTTCTTTATGTAAATTAGATTACACGCTTAGCGTGCGCCCAAATCACAATTCGTGTGCTTAAGATAGCGCACTAAGCGTGGTGTGAAACATGCTTTAGAAAACGAACGGTTTAGCAAGCCTCTCAATGACAAGTTTTTACTCCTTCATCCTATCCGGGACTTTAAGACATGCATGCTAAGGACCGTGCTGTGTTATCGTGGTGTGGGCGTACAATCACCTATAGCCTCAAGTCATGTGGAGGGTCAAATTTATCACGAATTTACATCATGCATTTAAAAGCCTTATTTACAATTTTTTGTGAGCTGCAAATATTCAAAGAAGAGAAGTTGACAAAAATTGTAACAACCATGTCTCGTGGTATTACATGATATAGGGTATTATTCTTATCACAGCTTGTACAACAAGGGGCTATGAAAGCTCACTGAGGTAAAAAGTGTCCGAGATAGATTTTCATTTTATCGGTAAAATCAGCATTCACCCAAACAGGTGAACGATTTAGACAAACTTTCATGAAAGCCATCTATCGGTATATATGTGGAAATTCTCTTGCATGGCGGATAGAATGTCTTCTCAGTTGGGAGCATTCGGCACTTTAAATTCTGCCGCTGGTTGTAAAATGTTTGGAATAAATTCTATCTTTGACTTGTTCTGAAGCCAGATCCTACAGCGAAATTTTTCATCTTCCAGTTTTTCCCTTTTACTTATTTGACAGAAGGAACGTATCACTCAGAATCAGTCTATGCAAGTATTTTCATTTTAGTTTATAAACAGTCAAAAGAAAGCAGAAAAAATCAATTTGCGTTGATCCGCCCGTAACCATGAATCGTCTCTGCATGGCTCTAACAAGACTTTTCCTCCAAGTGCAGAAAATACCACGTCATTTTGGGGTCTATTCAAGGAATTTTCACGCAATTCTTAGAATCAGTCCCTTTTTAAATGTCCAAATCAATATCAAGACTCTCTCTACTATCATATGTGTAATGTGCGAAACATTAGCCTTAGGAGAGTATGCAGGTCTGGATTTTTCTTTTGTTTGGATCAGGTTCAAAATTCTCATGATTAAACTCGTTGGCAGTTGGCATGAGAGGTTAAAAGAATTTCACCACCGATCTCACAAAGGCCGCCGTGCAACACCTGCCCTCATTGTAAATTATCCTCCTGAGTTTAATTGATCAAGTCTTTAGTAAAGAGATCTAATACTCGCCTTAATTGTCCGGAACAGAACTTTCTATCGTACCTTCACACCAACAATTTTACGTGGCGCAAATAAGATTCAAGTTTAATGGTTTGCAAAGTGAGTACCATCATACCATAATTTTATTTGTGACATTGGTGGCGTAACAAGATACGGCACATAGCAACTACAGGTTAGAAGCAAATTCTAAATGATTTTAAAGCGCACGAATCTGTTAAGATTTTACTTTACGGCTAAAAGACATCAAAATACCTTTTTACCAGATTGTTGCCCGACAAATCATGTTCTACGAGATAGAACTTATGTTAACCACACGGACAGTTGTTTTGGTGAGTGTACAAATTTAATATCCAAAGGAAGTTTATATGTTAAACTATAATTTTTTAGGAGCACCGCAGAGATAAAGTAAAGATTTTTTTCACTTTTTTTTCTCAACAGAGCATATTGGTGATCTTCTCTTCAAACGCCCTAGGTAAGAAAAGGTTATGGAAGTGTTTGGTCGCCTACAAGTCAATGTTAATTCCGACTGGACTCTGACATTATTTAATTTCGCCTTTTTCATTGACTACGAAGCATTGTTTATGGCATTCTTTGAAAATATTATGGACCAAGACTCTACGTGAAAATTTCACTCACATAATCACTTCATATAACCTGTGTTTATCTACAGACAAAATGTTTTATTGATCCTTTTTTTTTGGTGTAAAAACCATATCTACTTTTGTCTGGAGTCGGAAAATTGTCGTTTGAAATTAGACTGTGAGTGAATGTGAAGAAAAGAAGCAAGAATAAGGTTCTTTTTAAATTTCCGCTCTGCTCTGTCAAAAAAGGTTAAACTAATTACGATTTCTCTACGTAATCCTCTGGCTCGATTTTTAAAATTTTTTTCTTGTCAACATTTTGGTGACAACATTGGGAACTGATACTTGAACGACGAACCTGTTGTGTTTTTCATTAAAAGTTAATGTTAAGATGATATCCTTTGGGTATAGGGAATCTAGTCAACTCAAGTTTTCGTTAGGGTGGCAGGTAGCGAATAAGCCAATACGGATGATACATTTTCTGTGAGTTTACACGAGTATTTTGCGATACGTGAAACGACGATGTGGCGATGAGAATGTAGATATTATTATTTTGTATTGATATACTGTCGCACCTTTCCGTCACAAAGAAAAGAAATTTAAGTAAGAATCCTGCACGATTTAAGCCATCGCGCAGAATGCTTATTGTTCTCACGACATTTTCTTGCAGTAGCGAAAAATTAGAGATCTAGAATATTAGCAGCGAAGCGTAACCTGGAGAGCTTTGATTGGTCATAAATTACGCGGGCTTTCCTCCTCAGGGAATCTTGCTTCAGCTTATTAACTGTTCAAGGCGGAACGAAGAAACTATAGCTTAGAAAGTTATTGTTTATGCTATTACTAGAAAAATTACACATAACGTGCGTGTGTTACAAGCTGGATCAGCGGCACTAGTTAGTTTTGATGCTTAACTGTTTTATTTGTGGTTCTTCCACTTAAAACCTGTCGTTTTTATCTTTATTTCCTTTTTTAAAAGTTGTTGTAAACCGTTCCTTCCTCTTGATAAACTTCAGCACTAATCACTGTTCGTGTACCGCATTGATAGAGGAGGCTGCTCTGGAGAAAATTAACATATCTGCGGGAGTTTGAAAAAGGTCCCACCGGAGCCTGTGGAAGAGAAATTTAGCCGAAAAGCCGTGGCAATAAGCGACATTTCCAGAAAATCACGATTTCTCTAAGGTTTCCCTAACAATCAATTTAAAATAACCATATTGTGAAACAACAAAAGAGTTTTTCCCTTTCACAGAATTACGCGTCCAATGTGTAGCCATTGACAGTTACTTCTGCTAACAATGACACGTCTTTTGCGTCCTTGCCATAAAGGTGCAAAAAATTTCTGTTTTTCTGTCTTGTATCTGATGTAAAGATGGAATTTTGGTTCACAACCTACCAACTGCATAAATATCAACAGGTTGCGTCGCCAGCAAAGTTTGATGAAAGCAATCCGCTGTTTTTAAACAACAAAGCCGATCTATCGCCGCGGCGATTAATTTGGTCTTGAATTTTGGTTTTGTAAGATAACGTGCTTCCGCCCTAGAGTTTCGTGATGTTTTCTTTTTTTCTTTCTTTTTTTGTCAGGAGACATTAATAGCCTCTATAGCGATGCAGACCACTACTGGGACTTTGAACAAACACCAGAGTCACATATCATTGATAAAAGAACTAAACACCCAATAACGCTTCATGGATCTCCAGAAATTCTTGACTCGCCAACGGGGAAAGGCATCTATCTTCAAGGAACAAGAAAGAATTCGTCCATAGACCTCCTAAGAGTCAGTGGCTCATCATGTCTCTTCGATCCTTCAACCTGCACAGCAGGCTTGTCAATTACCATGTTTTTGAAATTTAGACGAGGCGGGGAGCGTAGCATCAACAGTACTCAAATGTTTTTCGGTAACAGCGTAGGTACGGAATTCCGGCAAGGGGTGTCGATCTTTTACAACGAGGAGAGTGGATTCTTCAATGCGACTGTTTTCGGCAGCACAAATTTTTGTTTCCGATGGTTTAAACTGGTCGTAAACTCGTGGACGTACATCCATCTCCGGTGGAAGAACAGCGCTGATAACGAAGGAATGCTAAACGTGACGGTGGAGGGAAATGTAGATCCTTCTGGTTACATTACCTGCGGTTCAATAACCTCTCCACTGCCCACAGAGAGAGATTATAGCCTAGGAAATGCAGCTTTCCCTGTGGCTTATTTTGATAACGTAGCCATATGGTATAGGGATGAACCAACCAACACCGCACCGTGGAGTTACATCACAGGTAAGCAACAGAAACAGATCGTAATGATTTAAAAAAGAAGGGGAAAATGTGTTTAGAGCATGAGCCCACACATAGCAACATCACATTAACATCTAATCCAATGATCCTTCGTTAGAAGAGGTGAAGGTTAGGAGGGGACACAGCCTTAACAGCTACTCTCTGGAAACCGCATTATACCAGTGTCACCACCCTGAGTCACTGGTATGTGATCTAGTAGAAAAGTCTCAGAGATAAGACTTAACATCAATACTGGTTCCTTGGTGGGCTCATTTTAAAGACATAACCCTCTCCTGTGCGTATGAGTCTGAGAAGCTTTTGCAGATCAATCATTCAAATTTGCGTGCAGTCCAAGCCCTTTACTTCAGTCGACACCAGGTGCAGCACTCGCCGCCCCATTCGCCTATTTTCTCGCCCTTTCAGCTACTAATTATGAGTGATTATTACGAAATTACAATAGTCATCGTTTTTGAAATCATTCTCTTTATCATGGGCAATTATTAACCTACTTTGACTTTCTTGTCTTTGGAGAAATATTTTTTTCGTCTTCTCACGAGTGTGGACACAGAAAAAAATTCAGTACCCATGAGGGGGACACAGAGTTACCATGACTCTTATTCTACCATCATTATCATAATATCTTTCTTATTCCAGTTAAAAAACATGACGCTAATGACATTGCTGATCGTAGCAGTATGTAGGACGCGTATCATATATGAACTTCGCAATGGGCCCTGCTCACCATAGAGTCTCTGTGGCTCAGTGGTAGAGCATCGGAGCTCTTAGATTCGTTTCCTCGTGGGCAATCAGAATTTTTCCTTTATCCCACGCTCGTGACAAGAAGGAGAAACATCTTTCTCTATTTGCTAACCGAGCTCAAAACTTATCATCTTTGTTATTTTGTTTCTTGACTTTCTTTCTAGATTTTGGTGGTAATACCACACTTTCTCTTGAAATTACCCTCGACAAGCCATGGAATTCAGACTTCAGCAACAGTGGATCGACACAGTTCCAAACCTTAAAAAATGAAATCATCAGTCAGGTAGGGAAAATTCAACTTCTCGAAAACTGAGTTCGGAGAAGACCTCTCCTTAAAACTTTCTTTAGCGAGAGGAGGAGGATCTAAATTTCAAGTCAACACAAATCATATCATTAGTGAAAAAGATGGTCTGGTAGACTGTCATTTGACCTCTAAGAATATAAATTTAAAAAAAATGCCTGGAAATTGTTAAATTTCTTTTCTTAGAAGTGAAACACCTGGTAAAGCGAACCAAGTAAAAGGTGCTGAGTAAGAGCTTTTTCAAAATTTTGTTATAAAGCAATTTTTTTGATTGGTTTGACTTTTGATAAGTGCAAGTTAAGTGAAGGGTCTTCCGCAAAGACTGGCGATTATGGTCCGACCATTTTAATGTGCCTTTTAATAAGAAACAACTCTGGAGGTGTTTAAACAAAGACCTGCTCAGATTTATCGTTTACAATTAGAGAGTTTCCGAGGAAGACCTAACTACTCGTTGGGTTTTGAAGGCAAATAACAGGAGATTATTTGAATGCGATGGAAAAGAAGTTGTCGATTGCGACGAGTTGGTTATTTGGCGAGAGTCTCTTCGTAAAGTTACGCGCTATTAAACACAACTGCTGACTCGTGATTGGCAAAGCCTTCTATGGTAATGTGGGCGCTAAAATGGGTTTATGAATATTATTATGTCGATAATCTGACTACACTTCATTTTGGTGTGGGTCATTTCTTAAAGTTTTGATAAAATAAAATATGCATGAACATTTGATTATTTTACGGGTAAACTTGTTCACTTGTGATTTGTTTTAGCAAATATCTGATTATCTTTTACTTCTCTTTAGTGGGTTGTTCAATTCCCGCCTATAATTCATTTTTACAGATTGAGAGAATTTATAACAATAACGATGGCCTTAGCCACAAAGACATTCAACAATTTACGTAAGTAATACTAAGCAAGAGAGTGTATATATATATATACAAATTCTCATATACCTATGGTAAATATGTTAAAGAAACCCACTTAAAATTAAACCAGCCCACAAAATATATTAAAAAAAAAAAGATCAAGCAAATAAATTACCACTGATGTGAGTTCAACCTTAATTTGTCTATTGAGACCTAAGGGGATTCCTATTTTGCTTACCTTTGGGCAGTGGGATAATTCAGTCTAAGTTGAAATTTTCCGCTAAGAAATGCTGACTTTGTTTGATCTCCAGCTCTGACAGCTCTGGCGGTGTGAACGCACATATTGAACTCAAATTTGACCGGAAGACTTCTTGGGAAGACAGCTTCGTTTTACAGGATTGTCTTGAAAACGGACGTTTTCTTGGGGGAACTGTTGCCAACATTACGGACTGCGACGCGGACGATGGATGTGAGTAAAAACATACTGCTTCACCATGTCAAGTTGTTATCATGCCACAGTTAGGTTTTCTTGTCCTATTTCGTCTTGTTACCGTCGTTGCTCAAGCTAATTTTGTTGTCAGAATTTGTCTTGTAGCAAACCATCTGCATTTTTTAATACTCAGAGATTCGTTCTCTCTACAAGATGGTCAGTGTCTTTCGGACGTAAATCCAATAAAGTCAAGATCATTTTTTTTTACATCAAGTGTTTAGCTTCTAACCATTCAAATTTCTTCTGACCATTATATCAACCTGCGGCCTATTTAACAGACAAGTTTTCTACCAAAGTTACTGTTATGCATTGAGCAACAGTATGCCCAATTTCAACGTAAATGTTCCCTCTTCATCTGGCGGCTAAAGAAGCACTTGACCGACAAAAGCACACACCTTTAGCCCTAATTTCTTTTCTGGGTGAGAAATATAATTTGTAAGCTTAATTTGTAAACGTTGACGCATTCTTGTATTCAACAGTTTTTTGTGAGGGACTTAACATCGTCGCAAACAGTAGTGACATTGGTTCAAGGCATTTGGGAATCTCTTTCAACGCCGTGGAAAAACTGAATCATCATAAGCATCTAATGGGATATACTGTGCTGCACAAGAAAACAGACAGCAACGACCCGTGGAAACCACATGATGTCCGTGGAGGCTGGCCTCACTATTACAAAATTACTGGCTTGAAGCCCTATACAAACTATTCAGTTCGGGTTACGCCGTATTCCTTTCAAGCCGCTGGTTTGTTGGGACCAATCACTATTCTTGAAACAGCGGAAGAAGGTGGATAAACATAGTGTGGGGAGGGGGGAGAGGGGAGGGGGGGTGTACTACAAACGCCGCTGAGGGTGCACATAAGAGTTTTAAAACGACTGAACCATAAAGAACAGTGAGCAAAGGCTGATTTTATGACGTGAAACACATTTGAAGAAGTAACGCATCAAAGGCGTGATAAAGTCCAAACTGAAGATCAGAAATGAAACCGTATAGAGCGGTCTTATTATTTCAAAAGACGGTCACCCTCGAACTAAGAGGGTCTCAATGAGGTTAACCGTTAGCCGTAAAACGGCCAAAAAGTACAGCCTTTAGGAGTAAAAATTGACAAATTTCAACCACAAGTCGTAAAAAAGTTGACCTTTAAAATTTTTCCATCTTCAGCGAGTCATTTTTTGTCATTTTGGGTAAATCGTAAAATGACAAAAAGTTTAACCGTTGGCCGTAAAGGCCAGTATCCCATTGAGGCCCTCAACTAACGTAAAGCGTACAATTTGAGATGTAACTGTTTACCATAATCTGGGTGACTGGCGGTATTTTCACTAAGCTTAAATTCAGTCTTTGTCTTTCGCAGGTTAACTTTAATATAAATGTGTTTTATGATCACACATCAGGATAAATAAATTCAACCTTCTTTATTCCACAACCAAAAAATATTCAAGGTTTGAAACGTATAGTCTCCTTCATGACTTCTTTATACTTCCCACAAATCAGAGTCTTCCCTTTAGATTCAATACTTTCCATAACCATACAAACCTTGGTCCCTTATAGTGCCAGCCAGTGGTCCCGTCATCCTGGAAGCTTATAATATCAACATGACAAGTGTATTTGTGCGATGGAACAAAAGCAGTATTCCAAAGGAGGACTGGAACGGAATGCCAAGGGGGTTCCGCGTGCACGGGCAGGGAAAGCCATGCACGAGTTATCATGTGCCTCCAAACGACGTGGGGTTGAACGTGTCTTCATTCACAGTCACTGGTTTACAAGCTTGGGTGGTTTATATTGTTAAAATCAGCGGAGTAACAAGCCCAGGACATGGGGTCGCCTCTGAAGTTCGAGTAAAGACTAATGACTCAGGTATTATTGTCCATACGTTGCTATGCTGTTCAAAGTAAATGAAAACAACAATAATAACACTAACAACAACAAAAAGCGAAAAAATAAGGGTTTGATTGTATTTGTTTCCGATGATATATACCATTCTAGTTCTAATGATTATTATGTATATTCTCTTCAACACTCACAGTTCCTGCTCGTGGCCCCCGAGGCATTCGTATCACTGCAACAAGTAATCACAGCGTGAAAGTCACGTGGGATACCGTGCATGTATGTCATGTGCACGGACCTGTCGTGTCATACGAGGTTCACTTACGAGATGTACAGGGTGAGAGCTCAGATATAATGCACAATGTAAGTGTTCTGGCGGAACAGGAGCGAAGACTGGATTTCACCAGTTTGGAGATCTACTGGGAATATGGAGTCCGCATTAAGGCTTTTACAACCTTGGGAGTTGGACCATTTAGCGTCGAAGTCACTGGCATGACAGATGAATGGGGTTTGTGCAAAATCATATGATTTATTTCTTAAAATAATCAGAGGGAAACTAAATGCTAAGGTACGGTGACTGTTGAAAGGGGACGGACCTCGATTTCTCTGGTTTTCAAATTGTCTAAGAGAGCAAGGTTGTAATAGTTGATGTTGGAGAATACATGGGTCACGAAGCTCATAATAAATGTTTACATGGCTATATGAGTATAAGGTTTAAGTTAACTTTTATCGAGGCTATCTTACCAGTCTCTCGCATTGCATCCCCCCAAAAAGAAACATCAATGAAAACATTGTCCTGCCCCCAAAAAGAATGAAGTTCAGTAAAAAATAATTAGGGTGAAGGCTATCGTGGATTGGAAGAGCAAGCCTTCGACGAGCGCCATAGGCGTTATGCTATTATATGAATAACGATAGATGAAAGCTCATAATTCTTTTTTTGTTTTTGTAGTGCCAATAGTTGCTCCAAGCAATGTTGTCCCTTCTGATCCAGAAACAACAAGTATAAGATTGTCGTGGTATTTTGAAGACAAAGTGCGAGACGTTCTTGGCATTTTAAGGGGATTTAGAATATTTTACCAACTTGCTAACAGCAGCTCTGCGCCGTTACAACGACTGGAAGTAAATGGAAATAACATTCGAGAAGCTGAAATAACTGGATTAGAGATTTACAGGTTTTATAAGATTTCAGTGGCTGGGAAAACGAGCAAGGGTCACGGAGTGATCAGCGAACATGTGTATATGCGTACTTTGGGTACAGGTTAGTGTCATACAACTCTTTCTCTCCCTCCCTGCATCTATTCATCCATCCATACATACATACATACATTAATTCTTTCGTCTGCCTGTCCTTCAGTAAACATCCATACATTTTGTTTTTCCTACTTTTAACTCGACTAACATTTATCAGTCAATTCTCGAACCATACTTTGGTTGCAATTGCATTGGAAGAAATCAATAATTGACTAAGTATCAAACTTCAAGTGTTAAGAGATTATAATGCCTAAAATAGTGATCTCGGGTATCGATTACCGAGTGGCAATAAGCGAAGATACTACTGGACAAACGGATCTTATTGTGTTTTCAGCCTATGAGCAAGATCTCTTTTTGAGTAATGGCTAATTAAAGTACTCTGGTATAATCTTCTTTCCGTCAGTCCGGTCCTCAGTCCAACTGTTCATTTATTTCATCTATTTCATTATGAATTTGTGAAATTGAATGACTATAACTACGTAGGTCTGTTTACAAAATCAATCGGGATAGATTCACATTCGCACTTTCCACTTTCATCACGACTTCCTCTATTTTCCGAACTTTCAGGTCTTCTTCTTCATAATGTTTTTCTTTTCTATTTTTATACATTCAAGCACCCGGTCACCATCCTGTACCCATCTATATTTTTAATACAAGTTCCACAAGCCTCCGTGTCACGTGGGGTAAAGTTCCAGACCACTTTCATCATGGCGAGGTGAGAGGATATCGCGTGTTTTTGGAGGAAAGTGGACACTCTGATGCAGTAGTAGGAAATTATACAGTGCCCCTCAGCACAAACACCTCAGATTTCACTGGTTTGAAAAAGTTTACGACCTACAGTGCTCGTGTTCGCGCATATTCCCTCTTTGGGGAGGGGCCAGATGAGGAGGTTACCGCATCAACAGACGAGGACGGTGAGTTTTTATTGTTTGATATGAAAGTAGATACTGAAAGGAAGTTTAATTTTTAAATGGTTTTAGATAGTTACATGAATACTGATGTGAAAACTTCATCGGCTATTTCGATATCCGGCGTGCATGTCGCTGACACTTGTAACACTTATAACTTACGTTCGGACGTGATGCAAATAAATTATTTCCAAGCTGTGGTGTTGTATCACCCCCTTACCTATCCCACGAGTCATTCCTCTTAGGCTAATTAAAGAAGTTATCTTAAGACCTTTCCAGTATAGGGAAATCCGAAAAGGGACTGGGTGTACACAACCCTATTGAGCGAATTCTCCTTACTTTTAAAATCACGGAGCGTAGATTTATTCTGCTCTCAACTCTCTAAGAGACAAGCGAGATTCATAATGAAATCATCGACACGACTGATCAGATGCCTTGACACTTAAACAGACTTAAAACAGCTGCAACGGTATTGTCTCCCAGAGGGTAACTTCTCAGGTTTATCATTTCCTAGCATGATGTAGTCTCAAAATAAGCCTCGGACGCGTTCATTGTTGACAGTTATGGATTCGAGCGACCATCTCATCAGGAGAAAAAATCCTTGAATTTCAACAATAGCTTTTCTTTCAAATGTTGTTCTGAAAGTTGATAATAATATCAAAATGCGTCCTTTGCTCTTATTGAAATAACATTTCACTGTTATTTAGATCTCTGAATATTGGTTTTTCTGTAAGCTCTACTGGAGAGTATCAAAAGACAGTATTTAATTTCTGACCATGAGAAATAAAAACGTATTTGTAGTGGTAGCCCATGTTCTCAATATATCGCATAAATTGATGATTTCACTGTATGGTTTTTTAAAAATTGTGAATGTAAAACGCGATATCATTCACTTCAACAACCAATTTTCAGCTCAATAAGCTTTCTTAATTCTTTCACCCCTAAGATCTCATTAGTAATTATCCATACTGACTGCTGTACAATTCTTATGATTTTAGTTCTATGAATTTGTTTGGATCAACTGATAACCCCCTAATTGATATTTATCTTTATTCTCATCACTTGTCTGTTTGAAATTGTATGGATATTGTAGGGAGAAATTCTGTCTTGGTCACTCATGGGTTCTGGATCGAAGCTTCTCCCAGTGACGTGTT